GGGTCCTAAGAAGGAGGGCACTAGAGGCCTGGGCCTCTGGGTCTATGACAGTGGAGAAAGGGGGTGAAGGGCTGGACCTCAATACTCTGAGAGGACGAGGATCTAACATCCTGGATCGTCAAAAGGGGAAAAGGACCCAGTAGGTCCCTGCAAAAAGCAAGGGTTTCGGTCATCTGCATTCGAGAACGGAATGGGTAGGTGTCAGCCACAGTGGTCTGTGGGGAAGGGACTGGGATCAGAGAGGGGACAGAAGAGTTAAAGTGGGTCTCCCCATCTCCACCCCAGGAGCTCCTCCTCACCGGGGGGGCTCGGCGCAGCTGTGCTCCGGAGAAGGTCGAGTCCCGCGTTCTAGGCTGGAGGCGGTAGGCCCCGCTCCGCCAGCCTGGAACTGCCTGGGATCCCCCTTTTTGGAGAGTGCCGGGAGCCCATGAAACAGGACGGGGGTGGAGGGGGAGGCAGGAGCCCCGCCTGCGACCCTGAGAAGGGGAGGAGGCGCGGGCTGGGAGGGACCGGGGCGGGGCGGACGTCGGGGTTCCCTGGCTCGCCCCTCCTCAGCAGCCCGGGGCTGCGGGGTGGGCGGGACGGGGCGGGGCGGTGGCGAGGACTGACAGAAGCAGGTGTCGGGAGAGTGGCGCCGGGTGAGCAGCAGGGGCAGGTGGTCGCGTCCCGACCCTACAGGCAGGTGCCACCTGTCGTTTACTTTTTCCCTGACGCAGCAGCAGGAGTCGGATTCAGGGGAGTGCAAAGTTCAAACTGGAGCCCCGGACTCCTGGGTCTGAGGAAGGAGGGGGCTCGGGACCTGAATTCCGGGGTTTGAAAGAAAGGGGGCGGGGCCCGGACTCCTGGGTCTGAGGGAGAAGCGGGTCGGGGGCCCAGGATCCGGATGCTGGGAATAGGGACAGAGGCGTTGGGACTCCGCAGTGTGTCTGACAGGCAGAAAGATCCAGAAGGGGGCGGGGAACCCAGACTCCTGGGTCTGAGGGAGGAGGGGCTGGAGTATGAACTTCGGGGATCAAAACGAGAAGGTGGCTGGTTCCCACTGGCAGGACTGAGCGCCGGGTATTCGGCCCAGCAAGCTTCGACCTCTGGCCTGAGATTCGTGGGACGCTGCGGTGCTCCTGGGTTGGATTACGTGCAAAAGGGCGAGCTGAGGCCGTGGCTATAAATACCTCCTCGGACTCGGCAGGAGCCCAAGGCTCCAGGCAAGTATTCCGCAGAAAACCATCATCACTAGCGCTCCCCGGTCTCAACAAGAGAGGCGTCGCCAATACCACAGATACGTTTATTGCTCCTGGCACTCAAACCCCAAGCCCATCTTCCCACTGTCCCATCCTCACCGACCAGAAAACGCAAACTCCCAGCATTCCACGCGGGGGAAAGAACTACAACTCCCAGAAGGCTCCGCGCTGAGTAGAACCCGAGGACTCGTTAAGGTTCCCGCGCTCGTCTGCTATTGGTTTTCACGGCGACGTGGCCACGGGAGGCCCGTGGCGGTGATTGGCCGGCAGTTCCTGTTGCTCAAGATCCCAGAGGAGGCGGCGGAGCCTGCGCAGTTCACGGTGTAGGGCGTCGTCCGTCACGGGACCCGTGAGGCGCAGGCGCGAGCTGCCCAAAGGCAGGATGAGGGGAGGATGGGAGGAGAAGCTTTCGAAGATGTCCCCTATGAGGGCGAAGAAGACGAAGTTAAATTCTGAAAATGGGCATCAGTCAGCAGTGTCGGAAAGAGCCGAGGCTGCCTCGCGCCCGAAGGAAGGAGAAACTTCAACCCCCAACAACTCCTGGAGCGGGGTCCACGCGAATGCAACACTTGGAGTCCGCAGGCATCATGGGAGTTGTAGTTCAGACTATGAAAGGCCACCGTTGCCTGGGAAACGGCCGATGGAGTATGGTTCTTGGGTCCACGAGGACGGAAGGGCAAAGTTTTACTTGGTTTTCAGAATTCTTTCGAGTGAAGGGGCTTGGAGCTGGGACTTCCAGATAATGGGGAGGGTAGTTTGTGGGAGGAAGAAGCTTGGGGGCGCTGAACCCCCTAGGAAAAAAAGGAGCTGGGGCCTTGAACTCCTGTACCCTGGTGGAGAAAAGGGTTGAGGTCCTCCTGGAGGAGGAGAGGACTAGGGGTCCAAAATCCTGGGTCAGAAAGAGGAAGGGGCTGGGGCTATGGATTCCCAGGGCCTGAGGACAGAGTAAAGCTGATAGTCCCAATGCCTCTGTCCCCATTTCTTCTCACCTGTGTCCACAGCATCTCTCTCTGTAGGCAGAGGGTCCCAAGCAGGCGGTGGCCCGTGGCCAGGACCCAGCTGGTAGTGGCTGAGCAGATGGTGGAGCTGAGCAGGGGTCAGTGTGGGGTGGTCAGTTCGTAGGCTGCTCCATGAAGCCTGGTGGGAAGATGAGGTGAGAAATCTTTGGTCTGAGAAACCCTATGTGGGAGGCCTCCATGAAGGGGGTGGGCCCAAAGAAAAAATGTGACTTGCTTTAGAATAAATAAAGATAGGAGTAGGCAGGGGTGGAGAGGAAGCAAAATCGGCCATTCGTTTATATTATCGAAGCTGATGACGTGTGCTTGGGGAGTTACTATTCCACCTTGGCCACTTTTTGTTATCTGTTTGAAAAATTTTACACCTACCCTCGCTGGCATCAGAATCATCAGTGTGGTTAAAAGCAGAGATTCTGGACCCAGATTGCTTGGGTTCAAGAACTCCAGCCTGTTGACTTACTACCTTCTGGCAAGTCACTGTGCCTCACTTTCCTTCTCTGTAAACTGGGGAGAGGGGCTACCTTCTAGGGTGGTTATGAGATTCAATATGGCAAGATTATAAAGTTCTTAGAACACTGCCTGGTGCTTATTAAATGCTCTGTAAAAGTTCAACAAGTAAAAATAAATAAATGAAATCGAGTGAACTATCCTACCTAATTCTCAGTTTCCTTGTCTGAAAAAAAAAAAAAATCGTCAATAACCTACTTCACGGGGCTTAGTCAGCACTCCGTTAGAAGTGGTAAACAGTATCTAGCATATAGTTTATGTTCAACGAATGTTTTAACCATCACATTCCTTGGTCTCATACCAGACTTCTTGAATCAGTGTGTCTGAGGGAGGGGGCCCTGGGAACTACTATTAATAAGTCCCATTGGGATTCAGATGTAACCCAGGTTGGACACTTCTGTTGCTGGTTTCCTTCATCCACAGTGTCTGAGCTGGGACTGAGAACAACCTGGAGTCCAAGGGAAGTTTCAAGGGTAAGCTGAATAGAGGATGACTGAAGAGTCAGAGGTCAGGGGTCAAAAATCACCTTGAGCAGGGAGGTGCGGGGCACACAGAGCAGGTTCACAGCCATGGAGAGTTTCCGGAAGAACTCAGTGGCAATGTCACCCAGCCCAGCCCCCTGTAGCCAGTCCAAGACAAGGTCCAAGTTGGTTCGGATTTGGACGGCTCGAGACCATTGATAGAAAGGTCGGCCTTGACCTGTGGGAAAATGATAGCAGGCCCAATGGGTGCCTGCACCCCGCACTCCTGCCCGC